CCGCTTCCACGACCAGACTGCACGGCGCTTGTGCGCCTGGCATCGCTCGGACGTGTGCGTTTTTTCCCTCGGCGAGGACCGTCGAGGAGCGTCCTTGATCATTTGGCGAACAAGTCACGCACGAAACCGAAAAAAAACACAGGGAATGGACGTCCGAGCGATTGCGAGGGCTAAGACGAAACATGCGCCGCGCTGACACAGCACTGCCGCTTCCACGACCAGACTGCACGGCGCCTGTGCGAGGTCGGCGTTTCGCCCGCTCTCGTTCAGGAGGGAAAGAAACACACAGACACAATGAATCGTCGACTCCCAGGAGAATATGCAAACATATGAAAAGTGGGGAGGGGAAGACCAAAACCCCAAAGATATAGGACAATACGGGAATCTTCTTATTTGTCTGTACTTTTTTGTGTGTCCTGGGGCCCCTTCACTCGTGCAGCCCTGCCGCCGCTGTCACTCGCGCCGCGCCCGCGCAGGCCACACCGCTGCCGAGCGAGAAATGCGCACAGGGCCTGGGCGAGGGCGACAGGTCGCACACCTCGCGCGGGTCCCCCCGACGACGTCGAGTGACAAATGTGTGCCACGTCGAGGCCTTGGCATCGCTCGGACGTGTGTGCATTTTTCCTTCGGCGAGGACCATCGAGGAGCATCCCTGACCACTTGGCGAAACAACCACGCACGAAACCGAAGAAAACACAGGGAATGGACGTCCGAGCGATGGCCAGAGGAGGGAACGCCATTTTCAGGCGAAGCGTGCGCGGCGTCCAAGCAACGGCGAACCACGTTTTCGTCCGTTCGCGCACGGACGAAGTTGCGTGCGAAAAACGCGCGCCACTCCCAGGCGCGAGTTCAACTCCCCAGAAATATGCGCGCGGCGCCGGGGCGACAGCGACGTGTCGACCTTTCGCAGGATAGCTGGTGTTGTTTTGTTCTCACGCAGGACGGAGGGTCCCGGATTGGGCCTTTCTCGGCTGGTTGGGGTGGAGATTGTGAACACTTGCAGTCCACTTTGACCGTCTTGAAGCTGTCCTCTCCGCTGCTCGTGCAAACATCCCACCCTTCCACTCGCAACTTGGTCGCAAGACATCTTAAGACAAGAGCGTGACGGTAGGTACCACATGGCGTTTGGCCACGACACCGACGCCGACGACGACAGCGACAACGACGACGACGGCGCCGCCGACACCGACTACGACGACACCGACGACGTCTCCAACGACTTCGACGACGACAACGACGACCGACGACGACCGACGACGACGACGACGCCGACGACGACGCCGGCGGCGACGACGACAACGACGACGACGACGCCGACGCCGACGACGACGACGAAGACGACGACGACGACGCCAACGCAGACGACGACGAGGGAGGAGGGAGGACGACGACGGCGACAACGACGACAACGACGAGGGAGGAGGGAGACGGCGACGACGCGAACGACGAAGAAGGAGGAAGGACGGCGACGCCGACGACGACTACGACGAGGGAGGAGGGAAGGCGACGACGACGACGACGACGACGACGACGACGACGGCGACGAAGTAGGGGGGACGACGACGAGACGCCGACGACGGACGACGATGACGACGAGGGAGGAGGAGCACGGACAACCACGGCGACAACGACGACGGAAACGACCACGACGCCACAGAGGACGACGACGACGAACACGAGGAAAGATAGAGGACGACGTAGGCGACGACGGCGACGACGCGGGAGGAGGGAGGACGGCGACCGACGACGACGACGACGATGTTGCAAGAGCGCGCGCGCTCGCTTTTGTTGAAAATCCGTGTTGCGAAACCTTGTGTTTTCTGTAGGTTTTTTGGACACACGATGTTGAAATCCTTCCGAAACCGATGGGTTTTGAAGGATTTCGGCATACGCGCGCGACGACGCGCGCGTCTGCACTTCGTCCCATTTTTTGCAGAGGATTCTCTCGACGGCACACGCGCAAGGGCGTTCGACAGATTTCGACATGCGCGCGCGAAGCCCGTTTAGTAGCATTTTGTGAAAATCTTGAAACACCTATGGTTTCTTATGATTTCGCAAGAGCTCGCGCGTAAGCTTTTTAGCAAATCAGTGCTGCGAAACCCTGTGTTTTTTGTATGTGTTTTGGGAACTCGATTTCGAAATCCTTCCGGCACCGAAGGATTTTGAAGGATTTCGGCATGCGCGACGACGCCCGCGTGTGCATTTCGTTTCATTTTTTGCAAGGGATTCGCGAACAAGTGTTACGTTAGAACAAATAATGTCACCGCGTGGCGCATTTTAACAGAGGAACCTCAGTGGGGGGATACCGGCTGGCCTGGGACATTGTGATTTCATATTTAGGATGGACATGTGGTCAGAATCATATCTGATTTACATACCCGAAAGGGGGACCGATACCCTCAGGGGGGGTAGAATCTATTCTCTTTTCAGAAGAAAGAAGTAAGGACATGGATGGGAGGGGAGGGGGAGGAAGGGGAAGAGGAACAACAAAAAAATGAGATGGGTCGGAGGAAGCCGACGACGAGGAGCATCCGGGGCATGGCCACTGCCACGGCCACGGCGACGACGCCGCCGCCGACGGCGACTTCTTCGCCGGCGCGCGGCGACCGCGACGGCGCCGCCGCCCACGGCGGCGGCGCCGGCGACGACGGCGCGGCCGCCGCCCTCGCCGCCAGACGGCCCCGCGAGCGGCGGGCCCGCGCCGGTGCCGCCAGCGTCGCCCTCCGCCCGGGAGGCGCGCGCGGCAGCCGCGGCCGCCGTGTCAGGGGCCCCAAACGGTGTAGTTCGGCGGCGCGCCGTGGGGAGGTAAGAATCGGGGGAGCGTAAGACCCGGGTTTGCCAGGACTCGGGTTCGCCATCGTTTTTTGACGACCGCGCTTCGGATTTTGACGAGGAGGAGTTTCGTGGGATGTCTGCAGCGGGAGGCCTCGTCAAAATGCAGGCTTGGCCTCGTTGTTTTTTTGACGACCTCGTCGGGGATTTCCGAGTCCCCTGTACCCAGGTTTTACGTCCCCCTGAAAGAACCAAGCAGTGGCGAAGCGTCCTGGCGTGCCTACCAAAGAATGTTCTAAGAACCTTGTATGGCTTCCACGGAATGTTCTGAGAACATTTCTGGCTGGGACCGTCTTGTTTTAATCACCTCGGGCCGATATTCTAAGAATCTTTTAGAACATTCTTGGGTCCTAAGAACGTTTTGTGGCAGGCCTATACGAATGTCGGAACGGTTGGTCCCTGCCCAAAAGAGTGAGAAGGCCTTTTCAGAAGGCGGCGGGTCTTCTCAGAAGCGTTCCGGCCTTCTGGGACGTCTTGTGCGTCTTCGTGGAGAAGGCTTACAGTTATGGCGTGTCCCCCTACAGGGGGATTCTCGACGAAAAGTAATAAATACCCACAGGAAACCCCAAAGAGGTCAAACAATGTTCAAACAATAGTCCCCAGACTATGTTTGGAATATGTTTTGATTGTTTTGGGGTGCGTTTTATCTTTGGTCGAAAATCCCCCTGTAGGGGACAGGCCCGACTTAAGCTTACAGGATTCTTTCAGAACGCCCGAGGCCTTCCGAGCCTTTCGAGAAGGCCCGCCCCGTCTTACTTCCCCCCTGGGCTGGCCATGGAGTAGTGACCACACCGCGTGGTGTGTCAGGGGGGGTTCGGGGTCACCGCACGGATTTCGGACCCGGGCCGTTTTCCGAGGACGTCTTGGGCGACCAGGGCCTCCGGGGTCCCAAAACCGGGCGCTGGCGGACCGTGCGGTGGGGTCTCCAATTGGGACCTCGAGCTCCCCCGTCTACAATGGGACCCCCATGCGGGAGGCCCCGAGCCTCGCGCCTCGCCGCCTCCCGCTTCCCGCCTCCTCCTCTCCTCCTCCTCCTCCTCCTCCTCCTCCTCCTCCTCCTCTCCTCCTCCTCCTCCTCCTCTCCTTCCTTCCCGCGCGGTCTGCCACCGTGCGGCTCTGGGGCCCCAGCAGGCCCCGGGGCAGGTCGCCGTCCGCCGCCCGTGCCGCCGCGGCGGTCGCCGTCGCCGTCGTCGCAGTCGTCGCCGCCTTCCTCCTCCTCCCGCCCTGCTTGCGCCTCCTCCCCCTCCTCCTCCTCCTCCTCCTCCTCCTCCTCCTCCTCCTCCTCCTCATCCACCCTGTGGCCGTGGGCCGTTGGCTTCCAACTTCGGCTTCGGCTTCAGCTTGGGGCGCTCGAGGGGCCCCGCAGCCTCGCAGTCGGGTTCGGTTACTGGGCCGCGCCTGCCAAATCGAGGGTCCCCCCGTGTCTGGAGTCTCGCGGCCCCTGCCTTCTATACATTCCTGTGCGGCAACGTTGCCCTCGAAAGGGTCTTGTGTCCTCTCGGGCGTCCTCTGCAATCAAGCTCGAATGTATGATCCAGTCTTGATGTTGTCGAGCTGATGGAAAGCCCCCTGTGATGTCCTGCCACCCCCCAGGGCCTGTTAGGCTTTACGGCCAGTGCCGCCGTCCCTGAAGGCGGACCTCTCCTGGAACCCCCGCTGGCGACCACCCCCGGGGACCCTTGGCGGACTGAACCTTTGACTCCTCGCGGTGGAGCCCCACTATGGAGCAATAGAGCCGGGAACCGTGAGACGAGGACCGGGAACGGGGAATTGGGAGCCGGGAGCCAGGAGCCGAGAACCGGGAACGGGGAGCCAGGAATTGGGTACCGGGAGCCGTCGACTGAAAGACCTTACTCTGGAGCCCTTATAAAGCAGGTTCCTCTGTTCGCGGAGCTGCTTCTCGTTGGCCGTCGCGCGAAGCTGCAGAGCTTCGTCGTGGGCGGCTTGCCCGTCAGGATGTAGATCGGGCGCGCAAGGTGCGCCTCTGCTGCCTTCGCAGCCTACCCCTACAATAGGGACGCGCGGTCAGGCTGCAAGGGCCTCGGGAGGCCATGCCGACACTTTGCGAGCGGGGCGCGGCCAGCGAAACAGCTTCCAAGGATGGGGCCGAAGGGGAGGGATGCAAGGGCGGCCTTGGAAAATGGCTTAGCCTTACGATGCGGATCGACTGAGTTTTGAAGTGGGTGGGATCGGTTTTCAATTTTGTCTGTTGTGTGTTTCCCCGATCAGTGCTTGCACTGAAGGGGTCCTGGCGGAAGTTGAAGCATTTGCCGAAAGTTCCCCGCCGATTTTGGTGGCAGGCTGGGTTCCCGGGTTCTCGGGTTCCCGATTCCGGGTTCACGGTTCTGGGGCCGATTGCGGAGGGCGGCGAGGTTCCCGGGGTCCTTGGTTTTTGGTCGATTTTCTGATCGATCGGTCTTTCCATCGATCTCATTACCGATTTCTCGATCGATCGCACCATCGATCTCCCAATCGATCTCATTATCAACCTCACAAGTGATCTCACTAGAGATTGCATGAGCGATCGCGCGATCAATCTCATTATCGATCTCATTGAATCGATTACACTCTCGGTCTCACGATCGACCTTACAATCTTCATCACTATCGATTCCACTTATCGGTTTCATTATCGATCTCACAATCGATCTCAATATCCATAGTCTCAATCTTCAAATCATCCGCTGACTGGGTTTTCTCAGGTGTAATTGTTTGTCAGGAACTTGGCGCGGACGTGGGCCTCTGCGAGGACAGGCTGGACGACCTGAAGGGCCTGCGCTCGCTTGGTCTGGACCTGGACGAGGACGAGAGCCTCTGCGAGGACAGGCTGGAGGACCTGGAGGGCATGCGCAAGCACAAGTTCGGATTGGACCCGGACGAGGACGAGGGCCTGTGCGAGGGCAGGCGGGGGGACCCGAAGGGCCCGTACAAGACCGACTTCGACCTGGACTTGGGCGAGGACGAGGGCCCCTGCTTCCTGTGTGCGGGCGAGCTCCTGGAGGCGGGGGCCGCCTCTCGGGTCGCCCTCGCAGCGGCCAGCATCCTCCCGGGGGTCCCGCTCGAGTCCCCCCAGGCCTTCGCCGTCTGAGCTCGCCTGGCGTATCGACAGGCACAGCTAGCTGCGTACCAGCCCGCGGGAGTGCGGGCTGAGTCGCCGTGTCTGCTCGGATGTCGTGGTTTCCGCTTGCTTCGGTCGGGGCGGGGGGCGGCCTCTCTGCACTGAGGTGGATCTGCGTGGGTGTGCCGTGGCGCATGAGACCGAGCGTTGCCTCCGCGGGGCCATACGGAAAAAGCCTCGGTCCGAGGGGCAGTTCGAGCGGGGAGGTCCTGATTCCTTCATTAGATGCGCGGATCATCATTATCATCACCAACATCACCACCACCACCATCACCATCACGACCATGATTTCACGGGCCAAGAGCGGCATACAAAACACTCGTTCGCCGTCGTGGGCGCCTGTCCCGGGGCGGCTGGGAAGCTCGTATACCCTGACGGCGGCACGTCACGGGGTGAGTGTGTAAATTTCCCAGTCGCCACGGGGCAGCGCCCCCCGGCGACGGAACAGTTTCTTCCCGGAGAGGGCTTCGACCCAGGTTTCTTCGGGGGCGGAAAAGAGGGGGGTGATGACTAGGGGGGGTGGATATCATGGCGGGGGCCATGATATCTCCCCAAATTTCGTGGCGCCTCTTCTTGTTTCATTACGTCCCTTGGCCCCCCCGCTGGGCCGCGCACGTGCCGCCGGTCATGATTTGCACCCCCCCTCCCCCTTGGACACCCCCCTCTTTGCTGCCCCCGAGGTTTTTTTTAGCCACCCATTCTTCCCAGGCCCGGTTGGAAGAGGGCGGGCGATGCTATTCAGCGGTAGAAAAAAAAACGAGGCGGGAAGAAGGCTGGAGTAATTTGTTTTGCGGATGTCCCGAGCGAGACTTTTATATATACATACATATGAAGTTGCTTATTATTATTATTACCGGTAGTTTTTATTATCAGCGTCCTTATTTTTATTATACATGTAACACGTTATGCAAAACATGCTATACAGACTGTATCGATCGAGACGCTTGCTTTGTGTTATGCATGGTTTGTTTTATGTTTCCGTTTTCTTTGCGGGTGTCGCGAACGACGCGTTGTTGTCAGAATTTGTTGAGGATGTTTCGAGCGATACGCTTGTTTTGTGTAGTAGATTGTTCCCTTCCTGGGGGGCAGGATTCTGAGGATGTCTCAAATAAAATGATTGTTCTGCGTATGTTCTGCGCTGGGACAATCCAGTGCCCCTGGTAATATAACATTCCCCCTTCACCCCCCTCTATTTTGTTATTCCGGTAAGCCGGATTTAATGGTGGAGAGGGGCGTGGAGGCCGAATTTGATCATCCACGGGGGACGTTGGGAATCGAAATCGCTATCATCTCATGTTGACCAACAGCAGCATCAAAACGTTGAGCATGGCCATGGTGGTCTCACCATATCAGCTTCCGCACTCACGAGCGTGTGGCACTGCTGTGGGATTCTCACCAGTTCATTTTGCCCTAGTCACGAACGTGCGGCAGGACCTCTTGGTCAGAACGGCATCGGACCTCTCTTGCGCTGGCACGTTGTAGCCACGAGCTTCGAGATTTATCGAGTCAGTCTTGTGCCACAATCTACAAGGTCAGTCTACATGCGCGCCCATGATCACCATCATCATCATTATCATCATCTTCATCATCATCATTATCACCATCATCATCATCAGGATTATCATCATCATCGTCATCATCAACATCATCACCTTCCCCGGGAAAGTCGTTGATTATCCCCGCCAAACCCCCGAACTTCATTATCCCTGAGTGATTTGTACCCGGGGTACAGGGCCATGTATTCGGGGAGCGCTTTTCGCTCCCCCCCACCCCCCACGACGCCCAAGGAGGCTCGAGAAACGTGACATACACGGTTTCTAACGCCCTTGGGCGGGACAAGCGTGACAACGCAGTGGTTTCTACCGTTCCAGGGCATGAGGAGCGCGAAAACACATGGTTCCTAACGCCCCAAGGCGGGACAAACATGACAACACATGGTTCCCGATGCCCCAGGGCGGGAGGAACGCAGAACATACATTGGTTCGTAACGCCCGAGGAGGCCCCAAGAGGCCACAGGAGGCGGCAGGAGATTTCAGAAGGCCCCAGGGGGCAGTGTTCTGTATTGGGATATGTGTTCGGGGGGGCGCTTGTCGTCCCCCCTCGCCCCCAGGAGGCCCCAGAAGGCCCCAGGAGGCTTCAGGATGCATGTTTCTGTATTTCTGTATCGGGATATGTCATTTGGAGAGCGCTTTCGTTCCCCCCCGCCCCAGGATGCTCGCGAAGCGCGAAAACACATCGGTTGTTAACGCCCCAGGGCGGGAGCATAATGAAATCACATGGTTCCTAACGCTTCAGAGCGGGGCAAGCGCGAAAACGCATGGGCCCCTACCGCCCCAGGGCGGGACAAACGTGACAACACAAGGTTCTGAACGCTCCACGGCTGGAGATAGGTGAAAACGCATGGGTTCCCAACGCCCCAGGGCGGGGCAAACTTGAAAACACATGGGTTCCCTGGCACGTCCGGTGACACGTCCATTGGCAGGTTCCCTAGCGCGTCCCCTGGGCACGTCCTGCGGTGCATCCCCATGGCACGTCCCCTGGCACGTCGCCTGGCGCGTCCAATGGGACGTTCCCGCGGCGCGTCCTCTTGGCATGTCCCCAGATCAAGTAGCTTTGGGGCAGCTACCATGTGCTCAGGCAGGTCGGGCTTAAGATCCAGATCAGTTCGGTCAGGACTCGGATGCATAGGAGGACTCGATCCACAACGCTATAGAGCACAACCGCCGCATGGCACATCGCAATTCAGCACGACGCAGCACAGCACAGCCCTCGGCACGGTACATCAAGATCGATACACTCAGCATTGCAACCTGGCACGTTCTTTGGCACGTTCCGTGGCGAGTCCCCCTGGCACGTCGCGCGGCCCGTTCCTTGGCGCGTCCCGTGGCACGTCCATTGGCACGTTCCATGGCGCGTCCCCTTGGCACGTCCCGCGGTGCGTTCCCATGGTGCGTCCCTTGGCATGTCGCCTGGCGCGTCCCCTGGGACGTTCCGCGGCGAGTCCTCCTAGCATGTTCCAGAATTGGTTGAGGATGTCTCGAGCGAAACGCTTGTGTGTTATCTATTGTTTCTCCCCTGGGGATTGGAATTCAGAGGATGTCTCAGGTGAAGTTCTTGTTATGCGTATCTTCTGTATTGGGATATATGGTCGGGGGGCGCTTTTCGCTTTCCCCCCGCCCTTCAGGACGCCCTGGGAGGCCCGATAAACGTGAAAACACGTAGTGCCTCACGCCCCAGAGCGGGACAATCATGAAACCACATGGGCTCCTACGCCCCAGGGCGGGACACGTGTGAAAGCACATGGGTTCCTAACGCCCCAGGGCGGGGCAAGCGCGAACACACATGGGTTCCTACCGCCCCGGGGCGGGAGGAGCGTGGAAGCGCGTGGGTTCCGAACGCCCCAGGCCGGGAGGTACGTGAACACGCATGGGTTCCCAACGCCCCAGGGCGGGGCAAGCCTGAAAACACATGGGTTCCCTGGCACGTCCCGTGACACGTCCACTGGCACGTTCCGTAGCGCGTCCCCTGGGCACGTCCCGCGGTGCGTCCCCATGGCACGTCCCTTGGCACGTCGCCTGGCGCGTCCCTTGGGACGTTCCCGCGGCGCGTCCTCTTGGCGTGTCCTGAGATCAAGTAGCTCTGGGGCAGCAACTATGCGCTCAGGCAGGTCGGGCATAAGATCCAGATCAGTTCGGTCAGGACTCGGATGCATAGGAGGACTCGACCCACAACACTAGAGAGCACAACCGCCGCATGGCACATCGGAATTCAGCACGACGCAGCACAGCACAGCCCTCGGCACGGTACATCAAGATCGATACACTCAGCATTGCAACCTGGCACGTTCCGTGGCGCGTTCCGTGGCGCGTGCCGTGGCGAGTCCCCCTGCCACGTCGCGCGGCGCGTCCCCTGGCACGTCCCGTGGCACGTCCATTGGCACGTTCCGTAGTAGCGCGTCCCCTTGGCAAGTCCCGCGGTGCGTCCCCATGGCACGTCCCTTGGCACGTCGGCTGGCGCGTCCAATGGGACGTTCCGCGGCGCGTCCTCCTAGCGTGTCCCCCATGTCAATTAGCTCTGGGGCAGCTACCATGTGCTCAGGCAGCTCGGGCTTAAGATCCAGATCAGTTCGGTCAGGACTCGGATGCAAAGGAGGACTCGATCCACAACGCTATAGGGCACAATCGCGGCATGGCACATGGCAATTCAGCACGACGCAGCACAGCACAGCCCTCGGCACGGTACATCCAAGGCCGAAATTTTCAGCATTGCATTTGCCCGTCGCCCAATCAGGTGTCTTTGAAGCGTTGTCATGCCTTATATTTCTATATTCCCTTCCAGGTTCGTGGGTCGATGATGTTTTATACCGTTCTTCGCCCGCTAAACCATCGCCGTCGCCATCCTCGTCTCCGAGATCTTCATCACCATCACCATTGCCATCACCATCGCCATCATCCTCGTCGTCGTCACCATCATCATCTCCTTCATAACCACCATCCTCATCAGCAACATCATTTTCATAATCGTCATCACCACTCTGATCATCACCGTGATCATCACCATGATCATCTTCATCAACCACCCGTGGCCGCCCTGCGCTTACCAATGCGGGGCGCGCTGGCATGACACAACGACCAGCGAGCCAGCAACGCGCCAAATTCATCGCACCGCAGCGTGCAGCGAAGGACATCGCAACGAATACACGGTCGGCCCTGATTAGTAGGTCGACCATACCAAATCGAGGGTACCCTTACGTCCTGCGTTTCGTGACCTGTGACTTGTGCGTTCCTATGGCAACGTGGCCCTCGGAAGGGTCCCGCGTCCTCTCGCGTGTCCTCTCCAATCAAGTCCGTCTGTTCCATGCTCAACACATTGGTTCGGCTTCGCGTTCCCATGTTGGCTGATCCCTGTCTCGTCGTCGGCGTCGGCGTCGGCGTCGGCGTCGGCGTCGGCGTCGGCGTCGGCGTCGGCGTCGGCGTCGGCGTCGGCGTCGGCGTCGGCGTCGGCGTCGGCGTCGGCGTCGGCGTCGGCGTCGGCGTCGGCGTCGGCGTCAGTGTCGGCGTCGGCGGCGGCGTCGGCGGCCGCGCCGTCGTCGTCGCCGCTGCGCCACTGCCGCCGCGCGCAGGTCTC